TTGCGCTCAGACCAAGTCTTCAGGTTACTTACGAGCTACCATGCCTTCTCCAAAATGGATCTTATGAGGCGAAGTTGTCTACGCCATAGAGTCCATCATCAAATCGTTTGAATGGCAGTGGAAGACCCCTTTCCCAATCTCGACAGCGATCGATGCGCTCACCTTCTGGTAGCTTTGCAAGGCTTTTGTTGGTTGATGGACTCTACTGGCAGTGGAAGCGTAGTCAAAGTTTAGGTTCGATAGAGGCTCAAACACCTGAGGATACACACGGGGGTATTTGACAGTAGGCGCATCCAGTTTTTTACCCTACATGGCTCTTTCTTATCGAGACGTTACTCACAGTCCATTTCATCTTCGAAAGATTGCACTGTAATTGTATAAAAAAGTGCAGTGTATGTGGCGGATTTCTTTTTGAATCGTCCCTTTTGCAGATAACACAAACGAAGTTCGAGCGTGAGGTAGCAAAATGGGATGAAGAGTGGGAACGACATCATTGTTTTGGCCAAACATATGTGCATGATCATGACGGACATGACTGATTTCACGAGGTTTGACCCAAATGTTGCAAAATATCATATTCTTATCTACTCTCTTCGTTTTTTAGAGGCCATGGTCCGTTGAAAACAACAATGGATGTCATTCGTGCAGCTCAGGAAATATCTGTGGACGGGTCAAAAGTAACGCTTTTTGCATTTTCCTTTCATTTCTAATTGAAAATCATGCTAGGTGATTTCAAAGGTGTCGACAAAAGGTTTTACGGTCGTGAATTTACCCCTTATTGTTAGGCCAGCATGGGAATCTTCGTGTTGGTTTTCCTTGGAAGACTTTAGACGATTTCTTGTTAGATATATTGTAATCAAATTTTATGTGAGTGGAAGTCTCTGAACCAGAATTTCATTTCCAAATTTTATTTTTGTGACACGCTGCTTTTCCTGTGGTATTTGACATTTGTGACCTTTAGTTGAACGCATTGGCTAAACAAATTGGCGATGAAAGCGTCGATTCGAATACGAAAGCAGATTTGTTTGCTTACTTATCACGAATCACTTTATATTGTCAACAGCTCAACATATGCAGTAAGGTAAGCACATGAACTATTGACTGATCTGTTACTGGAAGAAAAAAATTGCAGTCGCTATTTCAAGTGGCTTGTTCCAATCATGTCCTGAGGGGTTTTCCATAATTGCACTTATTTAAGGTGAAAGCGGATGTGCAACAGATCGGAAATGATGGGTTGTTTCTGGTTTGGAGTCAGCCATGTCGTTAATCCAGACAGCTAGGAATCTTCTTGGTGCAGTAGTACTGACGGTAAAAGCTGCATATATTGCGAGCACGAAGGTGAGCCTTATCGATGACTTGGCTCTTTCTTATGTGATACAAATAGATATGTAAAGTGATCGTCAAGGCATTTTCTTCCCTTCCTTATGACGTCTAGAAACTGCTATTAGCTTTCAAGCCCAGATACAAAAGTAAAATCCCTCCCAATGCCCAAAATTATTGGAAAAATATTGCCGGCGGCGTGAATCATTTTTCTAAAAAAACAAATGCTTACAAAATATAGTGTGCACAAAGCGAGCGCGCTCGTGTAGAAGCAGCGATGGCTCTGTGTACATCATCAATGCAACACGAGGAGGACGGTAAGGCAGAGTGTTGTTGTGTCTTGGTAATTGCTGTAGCCGTCGTGATATAGTGAAGTTCCTAAATTTGGCATGTTTTTTTCTTGCTAGAGTGCTGTAATAGATGTCGAAAGAAATGACTAACGATTTTTAGTTTTAGTTGTTTGTAGGGCTATTTCATAGAAATCCCTAATTCTCAATGTTCTGTGATGGCTCTTCGAATTTAAATCAACAGTCAGGAGACGGTTTCGGCGAAAAAACACCAATAATGAAGTTGTAGATGAAAACCAGACGATTAATGTATGAAAAACTGGAAAAAAAACGTCGGGGAGGGTCTTAGACAGGTACTCTCCCTCTGCCGCTCAGCAATGGATAAAGACGCACGTTGGACGAGTTGTCTGAACGTGCCCGCTGTAAACGCGCTCCATTTTTCAATCAATTTTCCCTGTGGTCCCAAAACGAGCACGATTGCCGACGCGTCCAATGACGGCCGGCAAGGGGGCGGGATTGGGGAAATCCCCAAGAACACCCATGTTTGAGGGACTTTCCACCCTGTTTTTGAGTTTCTGAGGTAAGTTCGTTTATTATTTCCACTGCATATGTTCTTCACTAGGGCTCGTGTATCCCTCAGTAGTAGTGGCATTGAAATTTTCGGACCCTCCCTGAACTGTTGCTTTAAATATTAAGTTTTGTCACCCTTTTGGGAATTGCAGACCGTACCTGTTCGCATTCTCCCATAAACGCACCGTTACGTGCATTCCCAGAATAGTAATTTTATGCAGTGTGAGGAGCGAAGTTGCTGCATCGCTGGGCATATGGGATGACTTTACGAGAAAGCGCCGGCCCACTAAAAAGTAAGGTAATGAGGCACACCCCCCCCTCCCCCCCCCCCCCCCAAGGATGCGGTGAATAAAAATTCAAAGAACGAAAGCCCTAGAGCCCTGTTAAAAATGGGAACCCACATTTTGGCGCATAATTTTCGTGTTTGTCGTAGACATCGGTCGACGTCAACCAAACACGCTCGCTTTGTGTAGCGGAGTAAATATATAGGCGAGGGGCGAGGGGATGGGTGGGTACTGGCGCGAGTATGACTCTGCTTTGTGGGACATGCCTACGTTCTCAAACCTGTATCGTCCCACACCCTTAGGGAGCCAGCCTGCCTTCCACTAGGTATATTTCTTTCTTCAGCCTCAGAGCTTATCGTGAAATCCTCATTCAAATTGAGCTCTTCAAGCTGAGGGGCTAGTACCGCAGAAAATGTGTCGATGTGCCGTGTACAGTCGATATCCGAAAGTTGGGGTAGGTGTGTCACCGGAAGTGACGTGCACTTGATAGAAGTTGCGTGGATAAGCTGTTGCCAGCATGCTTTGCTGATATCCAGCGATGTATGTTGGAAGCAGCTTATCCACATATCAAGTGCACGTCACTTCCGGTGACACGCCTACCCCAACTCTCGGATATCGAGTATATGAAGTGTGTGCATGTGTCCAACTTTGAGCTGGAATTGATAGAAGTCAGCATTAAATTTCAAATTTCAGTTCCGACGCCATAACTCAGCCGCACCACAGGTGCAGTGGCGCATGGCACCACCGATGAAGCAGCCATTAGTGCCTATGCAGAAGAAGCACGGTGTGATTCGGCGTGCAAGTGAGCGGCGACCAATGGCGCCAGCTCGAGCTCTTGCCGAATTTGTGCAGTAGGCTGGAAGCCTGGTTGTTATTTCTGGCATATCATAATATTGTGCCCCAAAACTCGCGGGCATTACTATAGCGCACGTTGGCGCGGCACTACAGTTTAATGAAATGTGATGTGTGTTCATCTGTGCAGAACTCGATTCGTCGCCAGCTTAACTGTGTACTGACAGAATTCCTTTTTATCAAAGAAATCAGCAAAAATCAATTTAATCAGCTTGCGAGTACCACACAATCAAGTTTTGCAATGCATTCATTTAGTCCAACATTTTATACTGTGTCAGATTGGTTTTATTATAATCGCTTGCATTTTGTCATTGGTCAGTGATGCATCTTCCCTTTAGTCTTCAGCCTGTAATGGTTTCTGTATTACTGTGTTATGGTTCGTTTGATATTCCTCTTTGCCATCCATACCGTTGCCTTTTTCACTTAAACAAGGGATACTACTTAATTTTCCATCGATTTGATCATATTTTTGTGCTTGAGATATTATACTTTTAAACAGGTTAATAAAGATAATGTTTTATTGTAGCTGTTTGTCTTTTTGTCAATAAGTACAGGTTTATGATGTCAACAGAAGGCTCGTGAGAAAAACAGTAACCAGTGTAAATTTCTTTTAACAAGAACATTCATATAACCATAAGATTAACAACAACGATTGACATTTTTTAATCGGCCTTCGAAAACTAGGATCATCCATCTCTTAGTGGTAGCTTTATCACCCGGCGTCTTAAATGTGGTAGCAATAGGGAGGAGGGGCAGGACATGATCAGCAGCTTCGAGTACTCATTACCAGCCAAGACCGGACGAGTTGCAGCGCGTACTGTAGTTATTTCGGGCCAATTTAAGACATCGATCACAGTATGCTCCTCGGCACCTTTTTTGATATTTTTCTAGAATTAGCCCCACTCTTTCAATAATTTCCTTATTGGTAATGGGTGTAGTATTCCCTGGATCCAATGATGGGCAACTTCAACTTCTAACATAAGAAATACTAAGAGCAAAACCATGCCCATCTGCGCGAAAATCTGACGCGCATGCGCATCATGCTGTCAATGTGCTATGTAGAATGTACTAACTACGTCCCACATCACATAGCACCCGCTGCGACTTCGTCCGCTACCCGTCTGCATCCCTGCCTTCACGCCGCGTGACGGGCCTCCTCATCTACGTGACTCCTCTCTAGTTATCGAATATTGCTCAGATTGTAGACATTGGAAGATCGGAATCGCAAGTGCTCAGCACCAATTTATGAACTAAACAGAGATCAAAAACTCTGCATTTCATTTTCGGAGATGACAGCTGAATAGCTAATACATAGCTAAGAGAATTAATTGAACGATGACCTCCGTGTTGAGCATTGCGAAGGGAACGCACAATCCAATGTAAATTAAGCCGGTGTTCGCGATAACATGAAAGGATTATTTCGGCGGTGATTGAATTGCTATCCCTCCTTCAAAGTTTGCATGGGGCAACTGCTTGCTTTTTCCTTCTCCAGAGTGAATATGAGAGCTCAAAGTGCCCACCATATCTTTCCCTCCATTGAAAGCAGGGTCAGGCGTGCGTTGAGGTGCCTTCGACAAGGAAGGTCTTTGGAACTGCATAACTTCCTGAAAATGATTTTGGGGATTCGCCTGTTCATGTCCTATTGATGTTAGGGGTAGGGAATACCTAACATCCGAAAATTCAGTTTCTGATTCCATGCGTATGCTTCGTGCCCGTCTAGGAGTGGCGTTATCCCTAGCGCTATCCGCCCATTGACTTCTAAATATTGACTGACGAATACTGAACACATTTCTGTTCGACGCCGCAGGGCTAAGCTTTCAGCGCAGGCAAGAGAAGGCAAAGACGCAGAGATAGTGTGGATGCGGGTAGCGCAGACAACAAGACAGCGTGCTCAGCCGTCTGCCTTCTACCACTAACAAGCGCCGTGGGACGGCAACGTTCCATTGCGGCGCAGCTGCGGCCGCGGCGCTAGCAAGTCCGTGGGACCGCCCCCTCAACCGGTCGGATATGGACTGTACCAAAGGTGGATCGACCAAAGAGAGCAATTTACGCGACAGGGCCTGCCGCATCAAAGAGATCGCTGGTCTTTACATCAGTCGCGGTGGGTTGGGCGCGCTGCGATGGTTGCAAGCCCATAGAGCAACAGCCGGCTCCTTACCCTCGTTTCCACTTGTGTGCAAATGATGCGATAGCCGTAGTCAAGAACACAGGGGGTGCTAGAAGGGACGTGAGCGGTTTCGAAGTGGGCGTTCACCGACAATATTCGGGTAACGCCCACTTGCCAGCCGTGGAGATCGCGTGCTTGGCTGCGGGTCCTTGCGCGATTGCATGTAAACTGTCCCGCGTGATTGGTTTAGCTTGTTTATCTAATTCAATTTTCGCATTTCTACTGCATATGCACCATGATTAAGCTAGTTTGGACAGCTGGTTCGGCTCGCCCCTTCACTCATTCCAAGAGAAACAGAGATTTTCCTTGTCCGGTTTTAACCTGCGAATTCGATCTGAATTGTTGCTTCAACGACTAGCACCTTAAGGCTGGTGTCAGTCCGAGATCCGTCGCACGAATCGCAAGAATAGCAAGCGCCCCATTTGAACAGTTGAAAAACTGAATACGAACAGTCGTCATTCAACCATCACCACCGAGCAGAAAGGGTGGCAGGACTAGAGGGTACCTCGTAGTGTTTATTGGGCACAGGCAGGGTCAACCGTCACGTTCAAACATTTTCGGGATTTTTGCGACCCCCTAGTTCCTCTGAGGGGGTCCAGTTGCGACCCACTGTTTTTGTTATTAGGAGTGCTATACATGAATCCGTTGCGCCAGAAAGCGTCTGCGCGTCGTCGCGTCGGCCTTGGAGCGCGGCAGGTATCACCCGGGCGCTGGAAGAACGGGACGCGGCGAAGAAAAAATTTTTAGAGGGGAATAACTTTCTTGGGACGTATTTTTTTGACTTGTTGAGGTAGATTTTGATTGTGCCTGAGGTGCGCTTCCAGAAAACTACAAGGATTGCCTAACTCTCCGGAAAGTACTTCTGTTAGAAGTGGAAAACCCAAAATTCTAAGAAGGCGCACCTTCAACTTTGAAGGCCCATAAAATCTTTCGTATGCGACCTTTTGGAAAACTGTAAAAAGTTTCAGAAACTTCAAATATTTCTCTAACAAAATAGTATAAAAAGTTTAGTGATTGTCCCCTTTTTCAAAAAATTGTCCCGTTCGAACATTTTTCGTGCAAAAGCGAGTTTTTGGGCTTTCAGCGACCATAACTCACTTCATTTTCATTTCTGTGATGCACTTTTTTTTCATGGGGTGAAAGTACAGGATTTGCTCTTTCTAACAAGCCCAAACCGTTTTTCAAAATCCATTTTCCGAGAAAATCACACGTTCGAACATTTTGTTCCCATAGGTTTTTGAGCAGCACATGCGAGTTTTTGAGCTTTCAGCAATAATAACTTCCTTCAAAGAACTTGTTGGGGAGGGCGAAGACATTTTTGAAGACTACGAGATTTCTGCTTTCTTATGTGTTTTACCGTTGTCTGGAAGAATCGTCCTCAGAAAATCAGGTCCCGAAGAACTTTAATTTCAGCCCCGAGAAGTCAAACCTTTCATACAGTTCGAACGGACGGTTGCCCCTGGGCACAGGTGATTTCAGCGATCCGACCGAAGAAATTTCACTC